ATATATGTAAGATAAACAGTAGTTCCTTGCTACTTTGGAGTTTGTTTATCGCGGACTTGCTCTATCGACGTTTTTCAAATAAGAGTGGACATGACACACATTTGGCTGATTGATGGATGAGCTGCACGATCGGCATGGAATTTTTATTTAAAATGCATTATTTGAAATTATTTAGCACCCGCTGCACATTTGTGCAGCCCAGAGCTGCAGGATAAACTTCCTTCTGCAGCTGATCAGCTGCTCAGCGTGCAGAGCAGAGAAGTGGGCGTGGCCAAGAGTTTTTGAATGTGGCAAAGAGCAGAGGAGGCAGGGAGCTGAAATCATGACACATCCAGAGTAGAACCAGAAGCATACAAAATAGTGTCATCAATGAGATGCATGTCCAGTAAGTTTATTTAAATAATGTCTTGCTAGTTAAAGTTTTTACACCAATTCTAGTGAATACATTTGACCACATTGAAATAATTTTGCATTTTAATGACTTAAAAAAAATCAGTTTAGTCCCATCCTTATAGTTTAGATTTTATTTTACTTGTATTGGACACATTGACCTGGAGGTGCTGGCTGTGTTGCCAGGTAACAGCCAAGAGATAGTAATCACTAAGTGTCTGAGAGGCCATCAAATGTGCTCTCAGCTGATGGAGGCCACTGCAGCCACTTGGCTGATGGTCATCCAAATCTACTTGATTTTAAGTATGTGTAGCTTTCTCATGATGTTCAGGTGTTTGTTGCTTAAAGCCTGAGAGACACAAGGCAATTTAGTGTCTTCATAAATGTTTGCCGAGTTTCATTTTATTTGTGCTATGCAGAGCTTTCTTATTATTTAATGGTGTCTGAGCTGTCAAACGCATCGACAAACCGTCAGTATTGATCCACACACAGCTCCTTTCCAATAATTCATGACAGCATTTCTTCCCTTTTTTGATCTTTTACAGTTTCTCTCCTTATTTGCCTGTTCCTTCTGCTTCCTTTACAACAAATCTTCTTTTTTAGCTGCTAGCCTACTGTTCCAAAGTGAAAATACTCACTAAAGTATGATTTTTGTTGGATAATCTCCTCAGTTTGGTGGTGGATGGTGCCGGGCTGACGAAGCACTGCTGCAAGGGGTTCTGCATCGATGTTCTGAAGCGTCTGGCCAAGATTGTGGGTTTCACCTATGACCTGTACTTAGTGACTAATGGAAGACATGGGAAGAACATCAATGGGGAATGGAACGGCATGGTTGGAGAGGTGAGGTACCTAAACATGATGGAAACAAGACGTTAATGCGTTGCACGGTCCAACCTTTCACTAAGTTTGCTTCAAGACTTGTTTTTTTATGTGATATTAAAGGTTCAGGATTATTATTATTATTTGTTTTACTAATATTGTTATAATATTGTTTTAAAATTGGTTACAAAGTGAAATTTATCATATAGATTTAGTAGAAACGTATATTTCTATAGTAAAATAAACAAAAAAAAATGTTTGTCATGCATCCTCGGGATTTGGCTGGTTCTTTAAAAATGGCTGCTTTGCTTTTGTTGGCTTATATCTGTTAAAATGTAAGCTCTTTAACTTCAGAGCAAAAGTGCATTCGTAATAAATAATCTCACTGCTGCGTTGCACTGTAGGTTGGAGATTAAAACATCACCTCTTGTTTTGGTTTTTGTCATACATGATCTTTTTCTTGCTGACAAGAATATTTTTTAAAATTGGTTTATCACAATTTATTTTATTGCCAGCATTTGTTTTCTTATAGTTTCTATAGTTGTCAATATTTTAGATATATTTTATGTTTAATCTGACTTACTGGGCCTCAGTAGCAGCCAGAGTTGACCCATCAGTAATCTGAGATTACCTGACTGTTGAGTCGGTATAAATCTTCCACATCTTGGATATAACCTGCTCTCATCAACACAGTTCACTAAAATGCCTGGAAATGTTCAAGCAGGCACTTCCAGGGACAATGTTTGTCCTTTTGTCTGGTTCCTTTAGCCTCTAGGTTTTATATGTTTGTGTCTCAAATCATGAAAAAAAAAGATTAATATGTTTTTTGTTGTTGTTTTTCAAGTTTTAATTAATTTCACTTGAGTATTAATTTCAGCTTTTATGAGAATCAAAGTAAATACATGTTAATACTATTTTTAAAAACAATTTACAATAAATTTGACACGACAAAATATAAATTAAAACATTTTGAACAATTACAGGAAGTAGCTATAACGCAAGGTTTTTGACTTTGACAACATTAAAGGGATAGTCTGGTCATTTTTAAGTAATGTTCTCTTGCATAGTTATCAATATTTGATTCCTTATCAGCTGTAAAATTAGTCAAAGAGCACAGAGTATGGAGGGAAAGGAGGAAGCATAGACATGTATATGTAGACGCCTTGTTGAGCGGGCTGGCCTGCTGCAGCGGTACATCAGAGCATCCGCCATATTGAATGTGGCGATCTGTCGGTCAACTAATACAAATAAATGTACTGAACTTCATAAAGCACTGTTCTACAAAGTGTTTTAAGTTAATCCATGTCATTCACACAATGATATATCTGGAAAACAGGCACCAAAGACAACATTTGTAACTTTTAATGTGATTATTGAAAATGTTTGCTTCTTAAATGTTTTGGCTAAAAACAATTTGTGTATTATTTTGAGTGTTTACAGCTACTAACGTGTGTAACAATATTACTGTGGTGATATAGAAATATTCATATCTAACTTTTAATCTGTGTCTATAATAACCAGATCTTGTAGATGTGACTTAGATTTTCTGAATTAAGAGCACTAACATTCACATCTAACTGATTTTGATTATTTTTATATTCATATCGTTTAACATAAATGTCATGTCTCATATATGTCTATGGGAGGAAGTCTTCCTCCATGCTAGGCTAATGGCAAGCCAATCAAGGGCCTGTTTATTATTATTATCATTTATTACTATTACCGTATTTTTTGCCGTATATGTCACTTTTATTTTTTTGCATAATTTGCATGCCCTGCGACTTATACTCCAAAGCGACATATTTATGGATTTTTCCCATATTCATAAACCGATTTTTAGCTGAGATATGACTGTTTTCATTCCTTCTGACTGAAAATATTGAACACTTACCATTTTCAGCCGTTAGATGACGCTCGAGTATTATGGCATGCTGTTGTGTCGTGTAATAGGTAAAAGTGGATATTAATGACATAATCAACTTGCCAAAGTCTTCCACTTCCATGCACATTGCCTGGAGCAACCATCAAATCAGCTTCATTTTGCTGCGCCGCCCCAACAAAATGCAGCTAATTTGACCATTAAAGTGCATTTATTAAGTAAAAGTTCAACTGAGACACCTTTATTATAAAATCAAGCAAACAAATAATTGTTTTTTAGGTGGTTATCTTGTTAAATTTTGAAGAAATGCACAGCGAGTCACCCTCTGCGCGTTCCTGTTTCTGCGTGTCAGCTTTTGAAAATGCAACTGATTTGACCGTCATAGTTCATTTATAAAGGAAAAGTTATACTGAGACACACCTTTGGTATAATTTTGAGCAAACGCATATATATTTTTTAAGTGTTAATTTTGTTAAATTTTTGTTAAAGTCCTCCCGTGCACACTCCCGCGGCCACCATTTGGCAGCCAATTGATTTTTGGCACAACACCGGCCCACATTTGTGAGTTGTCAGCAGTGATGCATAATAGATGCAACGTATACGACGAAGTGACATATTTATGGATTTTTCCTCTTTATTAGACATATTTGGACTGATGCGACTTATAGGGTGGTGCAATGTGTACGGCGGAAAATACAGTAATATTGTTTTGCATATGTGTGCCATTTTCTCAATACTTCATTCTTTATGACTGAAGTCGCAGCTGATAAGGTAACAACTATTGTTACGGAACCTCACTTCAAACAAGACAAGACTATCTCTTTAATGCCAGAAGGTAAGCATCCTCCGTTTATTCACAGAATACAGATTTTGGTTCAATTCAATTCAGTTAATTTATATAGCACCAAGTCACAATTTATCTTCACTTGGAAGTACAGGATTAAACCGCAAGGCAATTTTATTGGCAATTAACATTTCACATATGCAGTTTCCTCCTGCTTTAACTGCAAACAACTCGACAGAAAAAAACTTACATCTGAACGGAGGCTGTTGCTAATCACTCCTTGACTCATTGATGCTTTGCTTTAGGGCACTTTTTCACATTAAATCTCAGCCTAGCACTCATTGGTGCAACAATTCTTTATTTTCTAACAGCAGCTCATCAATAAGGCGTTTCAGTTTTCTTTCTAATCAGGGTTCAGGATGCAGGAGCACTGATGCTTAGCAGCACGCCCGCTCTTCGTTTTCTCTGTTAATTATGGGTGAGACTGTGCTGATTGGCTGAAGGCCTCCACCTTTCTGAGCTGGACTTCAACTCAATCCTACATCAGGTTTTAATCATTTCATTTTGGGCCAGATGAAGAGTGGCGGCTGCCAGTTAATATTCTGAGTTCTATTATGTTTGTGTGCATGTGTCTCTATGAACGTTGGTTTTGTTGTGTCACTAGATTTGCCAACACCATGTTCATGTGGTATTTATTTATGAGTGTCAGAAATATGTTGGAGATGCAGGTGGTTTATTTTCCTCTCGGTTTGTGTCTGCCTCTCTCCTCAAATCCCCAGCTGCTTCCGGTCCAGCTTCTCCCTGCAGCTCATTAAGATGCTTAATTACAGTGTCAGACAAACACATGTGCACGAGGGTGTGTTGGAAAACTCAACACATCTGATACTTAGCAAACTTTTTGTAAGTAGGACAATATAAATCAAATGAAATGTGAAATAATGAAATAATAAAAAGAGATAATGAAATATGATATAATGAATAAATAATAAAATGTGAAATCTCCTGAAACAAGGTTGCAATTAAAGCAATATAAGGATTATTATGTGCCACGGAGTATTAAGGGCACACTAAGAAAAAAAAAATTACATTATGAGGAAAAAGGTCATAAAATTTTGAGAATAAAGTCAGTATTATGAGAATAAAATCATATGACAATAACGTTGAAGTATTACGAGAATAAAGTTCTAGTATTACGAGAATAAAGTTGTACGACAATAAACTCAAAATATTAGGAGAATAAACTCATAGTATTATGAGAATAAAGTCATAGGACAATAAAGTTATAATATTATGAGAATAAAGTTGTAGTATTATGAGATTAAGATTGTATGACAATAAAGTTGAAGTATTATGAGAATAAAGTTGTACAACAATAAAGATGAAATATTAGATGGATAAACTCATAATATAATGAGAATAATGTCATAATATTATGAGAATAAAGTCGTAGTATTACGCGAATAAATTTGTACAGCAATAAAGTTGAAATATTAGAAAAATAAACCTATAATATAACGAGAATAAAGTCGTACAACAATAAAGTTAAAATATTAGGAGAGTAAACTCATAGTATTACGAGAATAAAGTCACAATATTACAAGAATAAAGTCATAGTATTATGAGAATAAAGTTGTAGTATTACAAGAATAAAGTTGTAGTTTTACAAGAATAAAGTCATATGACAATTAAGTCAAAGTATTACAAGAATAAAGCAATATCTTCCAAATCCATGTGGTTCTTTCTTCTAAATAGACAGTCATTTGCATAATCATTTCAAAGTCCTGATACTGAAAAATAATCAGATGATGTGCTAACAGATTATTTTCTTATTTGTAAAATCAGTACCAAAGTATAACTTAACAAGATGCTCAACCGTCATCATTTTACAGCAGTTGTATGACTGCTTTGTCGTGTCAGAGTTCTGATAATATTACAACTTTATTCTCATAATACTGCAACTTTATTCACACAATATTATGACTTTATTGTCATACGACTATTTTCATGCAATTGCATGACTTTTTTCTCTTAATGTATTTTTTTCTTAACGTTGTCCTAATACTCATTCGTAATTACAAGATGAGCTACTGTCGCTCAGAATGTAGTTACATATCTGTAGAACTGTCTGAGTTGCTGCTAATTTTGTGTTGGTTAATGTCATTTAGCTGCAGACACCCTTGAATGGATTGACTCCAAATGACTTCTGTTTAAATTTAACCAATGATTGAATAAATATGTTGCTAAAAAACAGAATGTTGAGTCTCACAGTTAAAACTTGCTCAGTCTGCAGTGGAAGCACGAGTTGGGTGTGGTTCTCAATTTAGTCCACACCGACTTTTATGTCATAATCTGCAAAAA